ACAGTGAGACTCTGTCTCAAAAAAAAAAAAAAAAAAAAAATGAAAGAAAGAATCCAGTGTTTCTAAATTCAAAGATATTTAGACAATTGATTTTTAAAAACTAAGTAATTTTATTTTCTAGTCAACATTATAAACTAACTGGCATTTAAACTAAGTAGCATCCATTATAAGCCAGAGAGCTCAAACTGAGTAGTAAAAACCAAACCAAACCAAAGCCCAGGTCCTGGAGGGTTAATCCATTTTTAAGGTCCACCTTTGCACGAGGTAAAGTGGACTATGGCTGCGGTCCCCAACCCCTGGTCCAAGGCCTATTAGGAACTATGCCTCACAGCAGGAGGTGAGCAATAGATAAGCCAGCAAAGCTTCCTCTGTATTTACAGCTGCTTCCCATATCCCTTGCATCACTGCCTGGGCTCCGCTTGCTGTCGGATCAGCAGCAGCATTAGATTCTCATAGGAGCACGAACCCTACTGTAAACTGTGCATGCGAGGATCTAGGTTGCGCATTCTTTATGAGAATCTAATGCCTGATGATCTAAGGTGGAGCTGAGGCAGTGATGCTAGTGTCTGGGAGCAACTGCAAACACACATTAGCAGAGAGGTTTGATTGCACAGAGACCATAATAGATCAGTTGTTTGCAGACTCATATCAAAACCCTATCAGTGAGTGGCAAGTGACAATGTAATAATAACAGAAATAAAGTGCACAATAAATGTAATATGCTTCCATCATCCTGAAACGATCCCCCCACTCGCACTCCCCAGGTTTGTGGAAAAACTGTCTTCTGTGAAACTGGTCTGTGGTGCCAAAAAGGTTGGGGACTGCTGGATTATGGAATAAGCTCATTCACTGCCTTAAGGCAAGGTAAATTTTGGGGAACAGGCTATGAGACAGAGAATAAAAGTCAAAGTAGAAGCAAATGAAGGTATAAGACAAAGCAGGAGACACTGCCTAGATTTTCTCATACCGTCCTAGTGTACAAGTAGGCATCAAGTCCTACAGATTAATCCTCTGAAAATTCTCTCCAAAACATCCACCTTATTATCACAATGATTACCTTAATTCAGGCCTTATATGCTCTCATAGACTTGCTACTATAATAGCCCCAACTCTAATTCCTTCTTTTATTACCAGAAAATTTTTCTGAAATAAAGATCTAATTATACATTTCTTCTTTGGTGGTTCCCCCCACTGCCTACAGAGAATAAGTCAAATTCCCTAGCCTGGAAAGCAATTTACAACTTGGACTCGCTCTGCTTTTTTAGAGGTATATCTCTACCACACTCCTACTCTCGTTTTTACACTTTGCCTTTGCTCATGTTTGTGCTCATTGTCTGAAATATCCTTTCTCTGTGTGTTCATGTATATAATCCCAATTTATCTTCCAAGGCCTTCCCTGATAACCCCAACTTCTGTGAGAACTAAAATGCTCCTCCACAATATTCTCGTATTGCTTTTTTTTTTTTTGAGACGGAGTCTCACAGTGTTGCCTGGGCTAGAGTGCCATGGCATCAGCCTAGCTCACAGCAACCTCAAACTCCTGGCCTCAAGCAATCCTTCTGCCTCAGCCTCCCGAGTAGCTGGGACTACAGGCATGCGCCACCATGCCAGGCTAACTTTTTCTACATATTTTTAGTTGTCCGGCTAATTTCTTTCTATTTTCAGTAGAGACGGGGTCTCACTCTTACTCAGGCTGATCTTGAACTCCTGACCTTGAGTGATCCTCCTGCCTTGGCCTCCCAGAGTGCTAGGATTATAGGTGTGAGCCACCGCGACCCGCCTCGTATTGTTTTTAATATACCTTGACTTTTCTATTTTATCACACCACTGGTTCATATATCTGTATTCTCAGAAAAAATGAGAGTTCCATGTAAGCAAGTGCTTTGTCTTACTCACCTTTTCTCTTCAGTTTGGTACACAGTAGGTGCAAATGAATGTTTAGAAATAGATTAATCAAGGAAGATACCAATAAATATAAGTTTACTGTCTTGATTCTGAGCAACATTTTAAAGATTAGGCTCAAGTTCAGTCTTACATCTTCAAAGAAGTCTTCTCCAACTGCTTTAGACCACAATGCAAAGGCATATTGAAAAGTGAGGCATCTCTCACAGCCAGTAGAACACAATTCAGCATTTAAATAGTCTATTTCACTAGTGTTAATTCTGTCCATCCAAAGAGATGACATCAATAACTGACTGAATCATAGACCAGTTCTTACAGTTTTCTTATTATTCTCTACAATACTTAATTAGGTACATATCCTCCACAATACTTGAGCCAACATTTATTCAGAAAAGGTTCTGACAGATCAAAGGTTGGCAGACTTTTCCTGTAAAAGGACAGATAATATATATTTCAAGCTTGGCAGGTCACAAGGTTTCTGTTACAACTACTCCACTCTACTGTTGTAGAACAAAAGCAGCCAAAGACAATACATAAACATATGACAAAGGCTGTGCCAATAAAATTTTATTTATGGAGAATGAAATGTGAATATCACATAATTTTCACATGTCATGAGATACGATGCTAGTTGCGACTTTCCCCCCCACCAACCATTTAAAAACATAAAAAACATTCTTAGTCAACAGGCACTATAAAAACGAAAAGCAGGCTGGATTTTGGCCCATAGGCCAGTTTGCCAATCCCTGCTTTAGATGGGTGCACTCATCTATATTATAATACAAAACAATTCTGCTATCATATTCCCAAGCAAAACATTAACACACACGTAAAAATACCTTCGTTCAGCACGTTCTTTTTTCTTTAAGGCAACATCCAAATCCTGCAATTGTTCCTCTAATTTTTCACAGAGCAATTTCTGAAGAAGCAAAATAGATGAGTGTCATTTTAACACCTTCCCACAATCATTTATCATATGCATGTTAAACTCATGGAAACTGTGCTCTGAGAGCTGATAAGGGGCCACACAATAAGTGAACAATGAAGCTTTTCTGTGTTTAATTAAATAAAAAGGTGCCTCACCATCCATTAAACAGATGATGAGCACAGTATCTTTGAAACAAAGCACATATTAAAGAAACTTACAGCTTTGCCAAAAAAACACATTCTGTGCCTGTCCTGCTGGCAATAGCATTTGATTCAACATATATACATAAGCATGATTATAATTTTAAAAAAAGATATCAAGACATTTTTAAGGGAGAAAGTTATATGTAAAATAAAATATAATGATGCCAAGAACTATTTTTTTTTTTTTTTAAATAGACATTTGGGGAAAAATGTACACAACAATGCCACATGGTTACTAGGTCAAAACAGACCTGAAAAATTGTAACTGATAAAGCTATGCTAAGCTACAGACATTCACTTGAGTGAGAAATACATATAGCCCATCATTTAAAAACACTATTATTTTTTTTTTAATTTTTTAGAGACGGGGGTCTCACTATGTTGCCTAGGCTGGTTTTAAACTCCTGGCCTTAACAGATCCTCCAGCCTCAGCCTCCTGAGTAGCTAGGATTATAGGTACATGGCACCACGCCCAGCTTAGCCCATCATTTTTAAGGCAAAATGAGACTGGGTTTGTAAGATCAAAGTACTGAATGGTTGCAGTAATACAGAATACAGAAATAATACAGAAATATCCTGTTCTTCACCTTTCAAAGGAAATTTTGCCTGAATTAAGATAGAAGAGAAAGAGAATACATGTTTCCCCTAACCTTGATAACACCATCTATAAAATTACTGACAAAAAGAAGTTAGGTAGAAATGAAAAAAGAGGATGAAACAAAGAGATAAGCAACAGGAAGAAACGTATTTCTTCCCATCTGTATATCTAAATTTGGCACTCTTGGTGCTTATAACAAATTTGGGGAAAAATAGATTATAATTTTACAAAAATTAGAGGGCTTAGGAGAATTGCTTTGGAAAAAAACAAAAGGAAAACCTACAAGATATTTATAAAAGATAGAAATCTAAACAGAGGTCAGCACTATTTACAAATTGCTTTGAAGAATGAAGATATTCAGTGGCTATTAAAAAGTAATGTTAATTTGAATACAAAATCAAGGATTGAAAAAACAGAGGTGGGCTGGGTCATACATGCTGGCAAGGGGGGCAGAACCATTCTCCATCGGGGATGATCATCAGAGGAGGGCGAAGGCAGGCAGTGTGGTATCCACTGTCACAAGAATCACACAGAAGAATCTGAAATAAACCACATTAATGTCAACCTAACTACAACTAAAATTCAATGACTCTTAATGTTAAAGACATCTCAATATGTCAATATTTCTTATTACTATACAGCAAAGGACTCTATTTGCATAAAGCTAATAAAAAAAAAGCTTCACAATTAGGGATGTGACATGCCAATATTTAAAAAGTTTTTCAAAAGCTAAAAAAAGGTCAAGCTATAAAATTTAGTGAAAAATAACAAGTCCTTCCTGACCTGTGGTGTATAGCCATAAATGCTATAACAACGTATTTTTTTTTTTTTTTTTTTTTGAGACAGAGTTTCAGCTCTGTTGCCCAGGCTAGAGTGCCATGGCATCAGCCTAGCTCACAGAAACCTCAAACTCCTGGGCTCAAGCAATACTCCTGTCTCATACTCCCAAGAAGCTGGGACTACAGGCATGTACCACCACGCCTGGCTTTTTTTTTTTTTCTATTTTTAGTTGTCTGGCTAATTTCTTTCTATTTTTAGTAGAGACTGAGTCTCGCTCTTGCTGAGGCTGATCTTGAACTCCTGAGCTCAAATGATCCTCCTGCCTCAGCCTCCCAGAGTGGTAGGATTACAGGCGTGAGAGAGCACACCGGCCTACCAACATATTCTTTTTTTTTTTTTTGAGACAGTCTCACTGTGTTGCCCGGGCTAGAGTGCCATGGCGTCATCCTAGCTCACAGCAACCTCCAACTCCTGGGCTCAAGCGATCCTCCTGCCTCAGCCTCCCAAGTAGCTAGGACTACAGGCATGCGCCACCATGCCCGGCTAATTTTTTCTATATATTTTTAGTTGTCCAATTAATTTCTTTCTAATTTTAGTAGAGACGGGGTCTCGCTCTTGCTCAGGCTGGTTTCGAACTCCTGAGCTCAAACAATCCTCCCGCCTCGGCCTCCCAGAGAGCTAGGATTACAGGCGTGAGCCACCGCGCCTGGCCCCTACCAACATATTCTTTATGACAAAGTTTTAAAGCTCAAGTATCATAAACTACCCTACCACACACAGAATTTTAAACACAGAAAATATCTATTTTAAATAGCATTTCAATTACCTAGCTATAAGAAACACTCACGGTTCTTTCTATCATGTAAATTCAAATAAGGAAGGGAATGAGGTATAGAAAAGGAATGCAATTAGATTGAGGACCATCATTTTCAAATATAAAGGTTAATAACATCAATTAGTCTTAGAGTTATTTTATTGCTATTTGAGTTTAAAATGACCAAATATCTAAAACTTAACATAATATACTCATGAATGTTTAACTTAAAGAAACTTTTTATTTTTAAATAATTTTAGACTTACAGAAGAGTTGCAAAGACAGCAACGTCACCCAGCTTTCACCAATGTTTATATCTTAGATAACCATGGTACATTTATCAAAATTAAGAAATTAACAGTAATATATTATTAACTAAACAACAGACTTTATTCAGATTTCACAAGTTATTCCACTAATGTCCTTTTTCTGATTCTGAATCCAGGATATCCCATTGCATTTGGTCATGTCTTGCTCGTCTCCTCCGATCTATTAACAGTTTCTAGGTCGGTCTTTGTTTTCTATGACTGACAGTGGAGGAATATTAGTCAGATATTTTTTGTAGACCAATTCAGATTGTCCCTGAATTGGAGTTTATTTGATATGTTCCAATGACTAGACTAGGGTTATGGGTTTTGGAGAACGGTGAAGTGCCCTGCTCATCACATCCTATCGGGGGTACATAAGATCAACATGACTTATTACTGCTGATATTAACTTTGATCACTTGGTTAAAGTAGTATCTGTTGGTTCTTTCCACTGTAAAGTTACTACTTTTTACTTTCCATACTCTACTCTCATGATAAGTCTAGCAAACACTCAAGGGGAGGGGAATTAAGTTTTCTAGAGGTAGGAGTATTGAAGTATTTGTGGATATAAATTAAAATCACTACAGTGATCAATAAATTAATAAATCTTTTGGCGGGAGATACATTGAAGCTATGCAAATATCCTTTCTTTCCTTAAAGTTTTGCCCACTAGTTTCATGACTCACTGGGGATCTTGCTTGCAACAATTATTACTGTGGTGTTCTGATAGTGATTTCCATTTCCTTCATGCCTTCCACATTTGTTATCTGGAATTCTGTAAAGAAAATATGTCCCTTTCTCCCCATTTATTTATTTACTTATTCAATTTTTTATTTATGTCAATATCAATTAATATTTATTATTTGGGTTATAATCCCAAACTATCATTATATAATTTGTTGTTGGAATTGTTCCAGCCATGGACACAATGGAAGCTCTTTCCAGGTTGGTTCCTATATGTCCTTAGGACTTGCCTGCATCCTTTTTTTTTTTTTTTTGTGAGACAGGTCGCTTGCTCGGTAGCCCAGGCTGGAGTGCAGCAGTGCAACCACAGGTCACTGCAACCTCCAACTCTTGGGCTCAAGTGATCCTCCCTGCTCAGCCTCCCAAGTAGCTGGGGCTACAGGCATGAGCCACTGTGCCCAGTCTGCATCCTCTTTTTTATTCAAGTACTTCCTTACTTTCTAGGACTACTGATGCTCCAGACACATTTTCTATTTTACCCGTCCAAGCCTTGGAATCAGCCATTTTCCAAGAAGCCTTAGATCCTTTGTTGGAGAATGGTATTCAGAAACTAAGATCTGGATGTTCTGAGTGCTCGTTGCTACTGGAGATCACTACTTTAAGCTCTCTCAAAGGGCAGAGCTAAGAAATATATATATACACACACACACACACACACACACACACATATATATTAATATCTGTATTTTTGTACCTATATTAAAATAAGCATGATTTCACACTAGTATCTCCAGTTCTAATCCAGCATAACAGGGTTCATTCTAGCCTTTGGCTTTGCTGACAGTAAGGACCCTGGCTCCTATTATTTACGCTTTATTTGCTCAACCCTAGTATACACGAAGTTTCTGAAATTCTAACCTCTGGGGAGGTGGGGGTGGAGGAGGTGCACAGTTAAAAGTAGAAAACTACTTTTCCCCTTCTCCATATAATGTACCACCCCTTGCTCCCAATACCCAGGATTCAGTACTAAGTTATTTTAGTATTATACTCCAGTTATATGATTCATTACACAGCCATATGTGGGTTAACCTGGGTACTTAATTCCATTTATCATCTTATTTTATGGTAAAACATAATCTAAATTTCAAATAACAAAATTCCAAGTTAACTTTTAGAATTTAAGTTATTTCTAAAATGAAGATTGTCTCTACTCTGCAATAAAGGTAAAATCATGGGCCAGCTGCAGTGGCTCACGCCTATAATCCCAGCACTTTGGGAGGCCAAGGCAGGAGGTTCACTAGAGCTCAGCCCAGGAATTCAAGACCAGCCTGGACAATATATTTTAGTAAGACCTTGTTTCTACAAAAAAATTATGAAAGGTAAAATCTTACTAAACAGGCTGGCCATGGTGGCTCACGCCTATAATCCTAGCACTCTGGGAGGCCAAGGCAGGAGGACTGTTTGAGCCCAGGAGTTCAAGACCAGCCTGAGCAAGAGTGAGACCCCGTTTCTACTAAAAATACAAAAATTAGCCGGGCATGGTGGCATGAGCCTGTAGTCCCAGCTACTCGGGAGGCGGAGGCAAGAGGGTTGCTTGAGTCTAGGAGTTTGAGCTTGTACTGAGCTACGATGATACCACCTACCTAGGGTGCAAACGAACAAACTCACTAAATAAATACTTCCATATAAGATTTCCAAGTCTCAAGTAATGATCCATTTATTTTGACTAAAGCATATGAGAAATCCCTTAGAGTTCTATATTGATTTATGAATTTACTGCTTTTCTGGTATAAGCTCAAAGGAAGACAAGGACCATGTCTTTCTAGCTCAGCATCATATTCCTACCACTTAACATATAATAGTTGCTTGATATTTTGATTTGAGCATAAGAAATCCCCCACCCTGGGGATTTTCAGTTTCCAATGTCATTCTCTTTGGCACAGAAAGCAGCAATGAGATTTTCCAAGTACTTAATAAAACAGTCAAATAAATAAAAATCCTGTGCGTGCTGTAAAACTTTCACCTCCTTGATATAATTTCTGCTCACCCCCATTTTATTCTCATTCCTCACAGACTCTTGTCACTGACAGCTATTGTTCCCTTAGTTAAAATGCACTCTTTTAGTTTAAAGGGACATTAGGAAATGGTAGGGAGAGAACACAAGTGTTGCTTTTTTCTTGGTTTAGAGAGCAGAAAAGAATACTATCTCATATCTTCTCTTGCCCTTTCTCTGCACAAAAATTTTGACCTAACTATCATAGCCTTGATGATAATAAAATGTTTAGAATGATCTTCTCAGCATAATTTCAATACCTATTCTTCTCAGAGCTAAAGTCATTCTCCAGTTCTATCTTTTACTTGAGCCCTCAGAAACTACTGTATATGATAAACCTCAATAATGAATTTAGTTTTCAGATATGACTTTAACAGTAATACAGAAAAGTATACATAAAATAGAATTAACTTTAACCTAGCACATAATATATATCACAGACTGTGCTAAGGAACTTTACATGAGTTGTTAAAAACACCCCTCAGAAATATGTGGTATGAGCCCCATTTTACAATGAAGAGGTCAAGATACAGAAAAAATAGTGGCTGGTAAGTGGTGGCAACAGGATCTGTCTGCCACATGCTGGCCCCGTCAAATCACAGTGCTTTCTTAAAAAAAAAAAAATTAAATGAAAAAAGGGCCTGGAGAACTACTTCTTACGAACTTTCCAAATTTTAGAGGATTTCAAAACATTTCTGCTCTACAAAATTCTGCCCATGTGGAACCATCTTCTTTACATTTCTTTCTACTTAATAGTTAGAGCTTGCCTTTAAAGTAAAATCCATTCAAAAGAACTACATAATTGCATAGAATTAGCTATAACAAGACTGTTTCCTCAACAGAGTCACTTATGAACTAAAAATGATATACACAGATTAAGAAAAGAACTATTTCTCCAGATTTAGGCCATCTTTGAAGAACCTAATTCCTGGATAGGGAAGCTCCATATAAACCTGGTACTATTCTTCTGACTATATCTGGCCTATAATTTATTCTCTTAAAATTTTTTTTAAAACTGCTCATTTAAAAAATTTCGAAGACCTACTAGGTTACTATTTGATTTATATGTTTTTATAGGAAGGCAATAAGGCCTTCAGGCCTAATTTACTTAAAGCTGGCACTTCAGAAATACCATTATAAAGTAAGTAATTTACTTATTTAGTAATTTATTTATCTATTAAGACAAACTCTCACTATATTGCCCAGACTAGACTTGAACTCCTGGGCTCAGGGGATCCTTCTGTCTCAGCCTTCTGAGGTGCTAGGACTACTACATCCAGCAGAAATACCATTATAAAGTAATTTAAAAGAAAAGAAGAAAACAATTAAAGAAAAACAACACAATAGAAGTACTTGCATAAGTTCATCCATTTTTGAGATGAGATTGGGGTACATCCTTATTAAGTAGAGAAAATATCAATATATAAGCCAGGTAGAATGAAAGCAGGATTTTCATTATGGCCTTCCTAGGATTGGATTATTTGAGAAATAAAAATAAAGGTTACTTTGTAGCACACAAGCTCTCTATCATTAAAAATTCAAATCATGATCAAACCCAGAAGAGTTAGGCTGCTCTGAGAAACCACAGCATACCCACAATATGAATATTGTTCATTTGCATCAGGTACATACTAGTTCAGGATGGTTTGGAAGGCCACATTTTTTGCATGGTTCATCATCATCTGCTAAGATGGCTTCTTCACTTTCCTTTTCCTCTTCTTCTTCTGAAGCTGCAGATGATTTTTCACTGTCAGACCCTTCACTTTCATCATTGCTGGAATATTTCCACCTGCCACGTGTTCGAGAACCAGTCCATCGAACTTTGCCTTTGGGTTTTACCTTGCATAAAATAAAAAATTGGGCTATTGTAAAATAATAAGAATGTATTTAAAAAAAAAAACCTGATTACATGTCCATTGTAGAATATTAAGTCAATATACAAAGAAAAAATGAAAATTATTGTATCCTCATCACCAGATGTACATACTATTAAATTTTGGTATATATTTCTATTATTTTTTCTATATTTTTGCCTTTCTAAAAAAATGGAATCATAATGAACATTTTATCTTATATTTTTCCTTGTCAAAAAATATTCTTCTTATATCACTATAAATGCCATCACATAGCTGTATTTATCTAATCCCCTACTAGACATTTAGGTAGTTGTTTCTCATTTTTTCACTTTCATCAACAATGTACTGTTATCCTTATAAGTATAAATTTTTACGCACGTCTCTGGAGTTAGGATAAATTCCTCGGAGAGGATTCTGGGTCAAAGGCCATGTATATTTTAAATACTCTATAATAGAATGATGACTACATTCTCACATATTGTTATATAAGATTTTAAACCTTGTATTAGAGATGAATTTAAAAATTTTAACTAGTTAGAACTCCTTGTAAAAAATCCTGACAAAGAAAAAAATATATTATTCAGAGAATAAGTTTACAATGCAATTAAGTTTTTTATTGCCTAGTTTTGTACTCTTTTAAGTCATATTTTAGTTCGTTCCTCCACTATAGATCTCTAGCAAAGAACAGTAATTCTAATAAAAGAGGAAGCTTTTTTTTTTTGGAGACAGAGTCTCACTCTCTTGCCTGGGGCGAGTGCCGTGGCGTCAGCCTAGCTCACAGCACCCTCAAACTCCTGGGCTCAAGCGATCCTACTGTCTCAGCCTCCCGAGTAGCTGGGACCACAGGCACGCGCCACCATGCCCGGCTAATTTTTTCTACATATATTTTTAGCTGTCCAATTAATTTCTTTCCATTTTTTGGTAGAGACGGGGTCTCACTCTTGCTCAGGCTGGTCTTGAACTCCTGAGCTCAGAACGATCCGCCCGCCTCGGCCTCCCAGAGTGCTAGGATTACAGGCGTGAGCCACCGCGCCCGGCCTAAAGAGGAAGCTTTTTTTTAAAGAATGAAAAATTCAGTATTTTAGGGAACACAAGATCACTTACAATGAAGAATAATCTAATCACTGAAAATAAAAACATAAGTGGCACTTTTAATCATAACAAACTCCCATAGTCTAGCCAAAAGACTTATAAAATAAAAGATTTGCTTAAAATAAGAGGGCCATAGAAAAGAGGATTCTGGCTTTTAAGACTAATGGTTAAAATGGGGAAACAGACACTCTCATACACCAGTAAGATAGTATATTAATGGGGCTTTTTAGGAGGGCAATGTGGCAATAGCTATTAAAACTTAAAATACACATACCCCTTGACCCAGCAATTCCAATTCGAGGAGTCTATTCTAAAGAAATACTCACTCATGTCTGAAAGAATCTTCAATGCGGCATTGCCTGTAATAGTGAAAAATTGGAAACAACCTAAATGTCAATCAATAAGGGAGTGGTTAAATAAACTGAGGTACATCCACACTATGGAATACTGTGTGGCCGTTAATAAACAAAAGGTAAACTACATCTACTGACATAGAAAGAGTTCAGAGACACACTGTTAAGTGAAAAATTCAAAGAAAAAAAGAACATATTTGATCCAATGATGCAATTTATTTTTTAAATGAGTAGGTGAATGTTTATAAATATACACATGAATGCATGGAAAAAAGATTGGAACGATGTACTCCAAACTATTAATAGTAGCTATGAAGAATTTTCATTTTATAATTCTACAGGTTGGGTATTACTTCAATAGTTTACAAAGAGAATATATTCCTATACTGCCTGTAATAAAAAAAAAAGGTTAAGATAAGATTATACAGTGTGAAATTTAATACATGGAAATACCTCCTGAGAAAAGGTATCCCAGATGTAGGAACAAAGATACATTTTTTTTTTTCAGTTGTGTTTGATGACTAAGTTTTAGCCAAAAGCAAAAAGCTATAAATACTTAAGAGATAAATATTTTTAATTAAAAATGAAAACTCAGAGTAGAAGTTTTACCTTGCTTACTTTAGGATTTGTATCCTTCTCCGATTTTTTCATAATTTCTTTTTTGTCAGTCTTTTGCAAAGCTGTTGACTCTTCTTCCGCTTCATCTTCTCCTTCCCCCTTTTTTTTATCAGCTTTCTGATCTCTGATCTCGGCCACTTTTGCTGTGGGTCTAGATATTCTCGGAGACCTCCTTAAAGTACGACCCACATTTGTTTTCTCTTCTTCCTTTTCTGAATTCTCTGGTTTGCTTTCTGGTTCCAGAATTTTGGGGGGAGACTCTGGCTTCTTTTTCCGACTGGATATCCTAATTGTTAATTTGATGCCCTCTTTCTGCCTTTCAGAAGTTATCTCTGTATTTTCTGATGCAGTCGTTTCTTCTTCAGGAATCAACTTATATTTAAATTTGCTTTTTTGCATAGAACCCTTTGTCTCAGAAGGATCCTCTATGCCAGAGGTCTTGGCATTGTCCAGATTATCCATTTCTATCTTCATGGGCTCACAATCCTCTTGTAGAATTTCTGGGTTGACATTTTTCACAGGCTGACCTTCAACAGAACCTACCAGTTCTACCACTTCTTTTTCTGAGGCTACTTTCTCACAGTGGTCAGTCATACTAGATGGTGGAGAAGTTTCAGCTACCTCAGGAGAGCCAGGTTTTTCTGATTCTAGAGTACTCTTTGGAACTTCTTCTGGTATTGGACTCAATCTTTGTATGTCCTTATCAAGAAATGTCTTTTTGGGCTTCTCTAACTTTTCAAGACATTCTAGGATTGGTGGGCGCTTATCCTTCTTACTTTTGGGAGACTTCTCTTCAACTTTCATGGTATAGGACTCAGTGGTAGACAAAGCAGTTTTTAAAGAGACATCCTTTGCCGTTTCAGAAGGCTCAAGAGAGGTTTCCATTTCTGGAGGACCAGGTTCCTCTACCTGCCCTTTTTGACTCTGAGTCTCCAAGATTGATATTGAACTATCTACATCTTTCCCTAAAGGGACAGCTTCTTTCTCAAGCTCACCTATTTTCACACTCATTATGACAGAATTTAAGGACTCTTCTCCATTTCCCTCCATGATGACATTTCTGTCTTTAGAAGGAATATAGCTATTTTCCTTTGTATCATAAAACCTTGTCTCTATTTGTTCTGTCTTAAAATTTGGAGTTACTTTTTCATCACTAACTTCTCCATTTACTAGTTGTTTTCCTTCATGACCCAAAGTAGTGATTGTCGAGATCCTTTTACAAGTCTCTTCCTCTTGTTTTATTTCATCTTTCAAAAACTCTTTTGTTGGAGTAACTGATTTACACAAAGGTCCTTTGACTGGACTGTCAAAATCATCACTCAGTTTAATTTCTCGTTTTTTTAGTGGTATCTTGGCCTGCTGGTCATTTTTAAGTTTCTCAGTTTCTTCAGTAGATTTCTCAGTAATTTCTTGAGAAGATTTAACATTGCCACCAAATTCTAGCCTCTCAGCTTCCTGTGCCACTAGCTTTTCCATTCCACCCTTGGTATCTTTAGGCTCCGTTCTGCATTCCTTCACTTCGATTTTAATGGGTTTCACATTCTCCTTGAAAGAATCACTTTCTTCTTTGATAATCTTTTTTTCCTCACTTTCTGGTAAAGGTTTGTCTAGCTTCACTATGACTGGCAGTTTCACAAGCTCTTTTTCATCTTCTTTTTCTGTTTTCACAGTAGTCTCTTCTAGAACATTGGCTGTAGAATGATTTTCTGAATCTATTGGTTGCTCTTCACCTTTCATCTTTTCATTTTCCTTCTGTTCCTCTAAAAATCAGAAAAACTTTAATTACATGAATAGAAGCTTTCAAGGCTATAAAATATAAAACTTCATATGTATTTCCATTTGAAGTTTCTATCTAAAAAGAGGTAGCTATTGTCATTGAATATTTGGTAATAAAAAATAAAATCTGACAATGAAGAAAATTATAAAACTTCGAAGTATAACTTCTAGTATTAAAAAACTGTTATTTAGCAAGACTTGGGTTTCTCCGTTTTACTCTTAGCTTCAGTGTTCTCAAAGGAATGCAAATATTTATACAGCTCAATTTATTCAAACTCAAGAGATAGCTCGAAAATATGAAATTGATACATATGAAATTATGAAATACTACATAAAACATTTCCAAAAGACCACATTTGTTTTATAAACTAACAACTATTCTCCTTTGCAAGTCATTGAGCACTTGATTTCACTGAGATTAACATGAGCATGGCAGTGGGAAAACAAAAAATAGAAAGAGAAAAAAAGCCTACAATCCTATCAACCAGAGGCAATCATGAGTAATATTTTAGGCTACTTCCTTCTGGTCTTATGTATTTTTCACCAAACTGGGATCATGTTGTCTCAATTTTTTCACTGAAACATTAGCACTTTCTTATGATGTTAAATGCCCTTTATAAAAATTAAATTTAATAATTACATAACATTCCTCAATGTGCTTACATTACAATGTACTTTATCAAATGCCATTACTGAACATTTTATAAGTTAATATTATACAAAGAAACTATTTAATGTGTCCATTCCTCTTTTTATAATATTGGCTATATATCTGCAACTTTTATGGAGTACCTAATATTAGTGCAGATTTAAACATAAGCCATATTCAGTAAATAGCATAATCTGAATGGGATTACAGAGATTGCATTTGTGCTTAGATTCTCTTTTCAAAGTTCATTAACTACTAATTTTACCTACATTTTTCACCCCTTCAACCTTATCCTTGCTACTGAAAAACCTTAATTCTAAGCACAGTTTCACCAGGATATGAATTTTTTTCTAAAATTTTGAACATATTCTTGTCAAGTCTATAAACCAGAGTTTTGACATATTTCATAGGAATATAAATGGGATGGATTGAATGAGGAGATGAAGTGGGGCATGTTTTTTAAAATGAAAATTCGATATTCAGAACCATTCAGAGTCTGAGATTAAAGTAACTCTAATCAGTATTATTCTTTCTTCTTTACATTGTTAGTGCTATAAGGTATGCTGCTAAATATTTAAAGAGATGACAGTGATTATCGAATTTGCATGTCTTCCTTTTCCCACTGATAAACAGGTTTAATAAATTCTCATTTATTTTGAGATTGGTTAGAATATCAGGCAATCTAATTAAATGAACATCCTCGTTAACAGTTAAAATACAGATTACTATCTTTAAAAATAACTTCCACTTAATACTAAGTATTTACTGAACACAAGTTAATATTAAAAATTAGCCAGGGCCGGGCGCGGTGGCTCACACCTGTAATCCTAGCTCTCTGGGAGGCCGAGGCGGGCGGATTGTTTGAGCTCAGGAGTTCGAAACCAGCCTGAGCAAGAGCAAGACCCCGTCTCTACTAAAAATAGAAAGAAATTAATTGGACAACTAAAAATATATAGAAAAAATTAGCCAGGCATGGTGGCACATGCCCATAGTCCCAGCTACTCGGGAGGCTGAGGCAGGAGGATCGCTTGAGCCCAGGAGTGTGAGGTTGCTGTGAGCTAGGCTGACGCCACGGCACTCACTCTAGCCCGGGCAAAAGAGTGAGACTCTGTCTCAAAAAAAAGAAAAAAAATTAGCCAGGTGTAGTGGCGCACGCCTGCAGTCCCAGCTACTCAGGAGGCTGAAGCAGGAAGACTGCTTGAGCCCAGGAGGTTGAGGTTGTAGTGAGCTATGATTTTGCCACTGCACTCCAGCCTGGGTGACAGAGTAAGATCCTGTCTCAAACAAACAAACAAAAAAATGCTGGGTATACAAGTGTTTTACACTATTTTTTATTTGAAATATTTCATTAAAAATTAAGATGGTCAAAAGTCAGAGAAACCTTAATGCTCTCATGTCACCTCCACACTGGCCAGCTTTGTGCAACCATGGGAAAATTTCTTGAATCTTTCTAAGTCTCTTCAGACTCTAAACTCTCTAAAACCAAAATACAAATAGCTACCCCTCAAGGAGGGGCTATGAGGATTTTTTTAAAAAGCGAAGCACTTTTATAAAGGACTTGGGAGCTGTTATTAATTATTTGGCCCTTCTTACCACAAACTTCAGTCACATCAGAAAATACAGGGTTTCCTAAAGCTGTCATCACTTTTTTGTTTTACTCTGTTAACTTTACCTAGAAAGCAATTTCTATTCTTCTTTACCTTTTACTCTTTCTAACTTTCCAACTTTCCCAATTTGTGAAACGATTAACATAGCTATACCTCCTGGGTTGATAATGATTACATATAATAATACATATAAGGCCTTCAGAAGAGTGGTATATGGCAAAGCACTCAATGTTTGGTAATATTATGACATATTATTATTGCCAAGATCTTACATCCTTCAAGCCTAGTTAAAATGTTACTCCATTTTATAGTTTTATCTGATTCTTTCCCTATAAAGAATTAACTGCTCCTTCTCTTGTGTTTGCACACTGTTTTCTACAGACTTTTATAATAGCATTTATTACTCAGAATTAAAATTATTTATTTACAAATCTATCTGTCCTACTAATCTAATGAACTACTCCTCTGGGGCAGAATCACAGATTATTCACCGGCAATAAGACACTCAAACATCTGATGATTAAACTGAATAAACTGAAATGGCAACAAATTCTACCCTAAATGTTGACAAATAACATCAATACCTTTTATTATGTAGTTTTTATTAACAGAAAGTATTACTGTATAGATTGCAAAACAGTATTTAACTTAAATTCTTTGAAGTATATCTCACCAACTTACAAAGTGAGATTTGGGCTAGGACATGACACATTTAACAGATACTAAGGTAAACTGCATTGAAGAAGGATCAATAAATCCTTAAAAGACCATTTAAAATATAAGACAAAACTAAAGATCCCAAAACAAAATTAGCTATGGATGTCAACTAACAATTCAGAGAGGTTGAAATATTCAAACTCTAGTAGTAATCAAAGAAATTAAAACTCAAAAAGCAATGATATTTTCAATCAAACCAATCAGCAAAGTTTTTATTTAGTGATAATGGTCAAAGCTTCTAAATATGGTGAAAAGAATTATGCTCATACACCTGGAGTGTTAGTATAAACTAGGTAGAACCACTCAATAATTGTTCAATAAATATTTATTGAGTGCTTGCTTTACACCTGGAAACTTCTTCTTTAAAGAATTTTTAAAGACACGGAAAAATTCTTAGGGTAGAATGTTATGTGAAAAAGGAGGCAATAAAACTGTATTTTTTGAGTAATTTCAATGTGCACTGAAAGAAATAGCCCATGATCTCATTTATATGTGGAATCATAAAAGAGTTGAACTCATAGAAGCAGAGCGTAGAATAGTGGTTACCAGGGAAGGAGGATATGGGGAGACCAGAGAGATGCTGGTCAAAGGATGCAAAATTTCAGTTAGATAGGAAGAATAATTTCAAGAGATCTACAATACAGCATGGTGACTAGAGTTAATAACAATGTACTGTATACCTGATAATTACTGAGAGTAGATTTTAAGTGTTCTCACCCAAAAAAATAAGTGAGTCAATACATATGTTAATTAGCTTGATTTAGATATTACACGATGTATGTATATACATATATTTCAAAACTTCATGTTGTACACCATCAATATATATAATATTTGTCAATTAAAAAAAGAAATAAATAATTTGAAAAAATTTTAAAATCCCCCAATCTGGAATGAGAACAAGATATAAATATAGGATAAGGATGTCACACATTGGGCTCTCCTGAATGCAGCGAGAACCCTAGAACTGCTACCTATAGAGTTGTCAAATAACAGATACTGGCTTCTATGGAACATGAGGCTTTTAAGACAAAGTGGTTCCTATACCCACTCAAATGTGAATCCCACACACTTGCTCCTAAATGTTACCTGGGAGAAAACAGCTTCTGGATGACCATACAAACTGTAGCAAGGACTACTCCTAAATACTAAAATGTTGCTCCTGCTAGCAAGTTATGATCAGTATCAGCAGATTGATACCAAGTGTGATCTATAGCAGTCTTGTGAATCTGAATATTTAACTGAACCTAAGAAGACCCTGATGGGCACTGGAGATCATGAAATCACACCATACCAGAAAATACTGTATTGTGTAACTCATTCACTAAGCAAAACATTGAATATGGGTCAAGTTTTGAAAGCTTATCTAGTTCACAAGTTTACCGTAACTATGCTGCGTTCTACTTTTAACTTTTTTATAAAAAAAAGTCCCTAGATAATGACACAGTAAAGTGACTCAAGTTCTTTTATCTTTACAAATGTTATCTTTTTCCAAAATGATGTCATCTTGAATTTAAGCTTTAATTGAATATTATGCTCAAAATGACCAAAGGAGGATCACATGTAGGTTACATTTTGTAAGTCTGACCTGTCTACATTTATATTTAAGACCTTTTCCCTAAAAGTACAAAAAGAACATTTCCTAAAGTTGGGCTCATTAAGGAACCATATCCACATTATCTCCAGTCATATTAAAATTCCTCATTAATATTACAAATAAAGAAATCATTATGAATGTCATTAATATCTGTGCTTTCATCAGGTACAACAGAAAATATAAAAAATGTTTTAATATCTTATCTCATTTGTTATAAATTATCTATTCATTACGAGCAAGAGTATTTCCAATTGTACTTACATATGCAAATGCTCATTCCACTTTGATACAAATACTTTTTTGCTGCACTCAAACTCAACATAAAAAAAGGTTTTGATACACATGTAATATTTTTCTCTTAAGAATACATAGCTGTTAAAAAAAAGAAAAAGAAAAAAAGAAAAAAAGGAAAAG